TCCACCGAAGGCCCCAGTGGAAACGTTCGCATGCCGCCCCCACACCCATTTCGGCACACCCCTCAAACGGTTCGTGGCCCCATAGGGATATCCACCGAAGACGGCATTCACACCAGCATTACTCACAACTGCATATGGTTGGGTCCTTCGCCAGGCTAATTTCGTCCTCATCATCCTCCTCTTCGCCCTGGTCATCCTCCTCGTCCTCCGCCTCCGCCTTCCTCTACAGACGTCGTCATCCCTCTCGACAGATGTCCATAACTCCCCAATTCTGCTGATTCCGAAGCAGGGATAAGGCCCTCTTTGCCGAGGCCCCGCAACCGTTCAACCCTACAGCACCAAAGAAGCGAGATAAGGATGCAAGCCCTGTGCGGCAGTTCCTGGAAATCCCCTGGGCCCTCCAAGAAGGATTGTAGCACAATGGGTCCGTTTCAATCGGTCCGCAGGGCCCCCAGAGGGCCCAGAAAGGCCCCAAGAGGGCGCCAAGATGGTTCCAAGAGAGCCCCACATGTAACACAGCTTTGAAACGACACGCCCTCCAAAAAGGAAGTTGTTTATGTTAAATTTGTGTTGAATTCTTGGCTCTCCTGGATGTCCCAAAGGGCCCTAAGAACGCTCCCGCAGGGCCTCAAGAGGGCCCATGAGGGTCCCAAGAAGGCCCCAAGAAGGCCCCAAGAGGGCCCCACATTTAATAGAAAGTTAACAGAACACGCTCTCCAAGAAGGAGGTGGTTTCTGTTAAATGTCTGTTGAATTCTTGGCCCTCCTTGAGGTCCCTTGAAGCCCTCATGGGGCTTCCCGTAAGGCCCCAGGAGGGCCCAGGATGGCCCCGAAAGGGCCTCAACATGGCCCCAACTTTAACAGAAATGTAACAGAACACGCTCTCCAAGAAGGAGGTGGGTTCTGTTAAATTTCTGTTGAATTCTTGGCCCTCCTTGAGGCCCATTGAAGCGTTCAGGGTGTTCCCGCAAGGCCCCAGGAGGGCCCAGGATGGCCCCAAGAGGGCCCCAAGATGGCCCCAAGAGGGCCCCACATTTAACAGAAAGTTAACATAACACGCTCTCCAAGAAGGAGGTGGTTTCTGTTAAATGGCTGTTAAATTCTTGGCCCTCTTGGAGGCCCCTTGAAACCTTCAGAGGGCCCCCGCAAGGCCCCAAAAGGGCCCAGGAGGGTCCCAAGAGGGCCCCAAAGGCCCCAAGAGGGGCCCCAAATTTAACAGAAATGTGCCAGCACACGCTCTCCAAGAAGGAGGTGGTTTCTGTTGTTAAATTTGTATTGCATTCCTGGCCCTCTTGGAGGGCCCTTCAAGCGTTCAGAGGGCTCCCGCAGGGCCCCAGGAGGGCTCAGGATGGCCCCAAGAGGGGCCCAAGATGGCCCCATGAGGGCCCCAAATTTAGCAGAAATTTGACAGAACACGCTCTCCAAGAAGGAGGTGATTTCTGTTGAATGTATGTTAAATTCTTGGCCCTCTTGGAGGCCCCTTGAAGCCCTCAGAGGACTTCCGCAAGACCCCACGAACCCTATGAGCCCTATGGACCCTATGAGCTTTCTCCTCGCACATGGGCCCTGCCAGTGGGCAACAGTCTCGGGCACCATCACCATGATCGCGAGCTGCCTGCGCCACGCGGTCCTGGTGTGGAGGGAGTTTAAAACACTATCGGTCTTGAATCCCAAGGGCGCACCGCCCTGCGAGCAACGCGAGCTCTATTAGCCCAGCGGGCCCCGCGAGGCCTGCGAGCCCTGCAAGCACGGAAAAGCGAGGCAGGATAATGGAGCTACCCTGCAGTGGGGCCTGCCCTGATGAATACAGCTAGCTCCATGAGCCCTGCAAGCCCCATGAGCCCAATAAGCTCTGCAAACTTGACATCCCTGACCTGGGCAGTCCGATGTACAACTACTACATGGCGTCCAGACCCTGGAGACCACCTGCGCCCTTCAAGAAGGATTGTATCAAACATTGTCCGTTTCGAAAGTCACGGGAAAATGCCCTCATTGCGGAGGCCCCCCATCATCATCATCATCATCATCATCATCATCATCATCATCATCATCATCATCATCATCATCATCATCATCATCATCATCATCATCCCATTCCCTCCTTGTTCCTCTTCCTTCGCCCTCTCATCCTCCGCCTCTTCATCCACCTCCTCACCATCCGCATCATCACTATCCGCATCACACTCATCATCATGAGCACCGTCCTCATCATCATGATCACCATCAACAGCATCATCATCCGCGTCATCATAATCAGCGCAGTCATTATCTGCATTTTCATCATGATCCGCTTGATCGTTACCAGTCCACCGCCTATCGCCACGACCATCAACACCATCATCAGTGTCATTAAAATCACGACCATCATGAACACATTTGCACCACATCATCTGCAACAGCAACAGGATCACCACCGTCACCAGCAGCATCATCCTCACCTCGGAGCCCCCCTGGAGTTCTACGCGCGCGAGGCGAACGAATCGTGGTACCTTGGCCAGCTCGAGCTTCCGCTGCTTGACGGCCTTGGTGCCGTCGCATGTCCCCGAAGTGCAAACAACAAGCCATCTTGTCTCGGTCTCCTCGGCCACCTCGTCGAAGACGCGGGCGCACCGAGTGCGGACGAGGAGGCAATTAGGGAAGAATTCACGCAACGCGCGCATTATTCACTGGGGCTCTGTCAGCGCACTGCGCGCTACTGTGCTAAGGGTCCATCTCCCCCAGTCAACATCAGAAGATAACTTCGGCACGTGAGCCCTCTCAGCAACGCACTTGGGCACCAAAGGCCGGATGGAAATAGGAAGATAGCGCGCCGCATGTGAGAAACCAACCGCACCCTCCTGTCACTTTAGTATTCCATTGTCGGTCCCGTGCCATTGCATGCGCCCCCCGTCTGCTATTCCCCCTGCTCTGCAGAAAGCGACCATGCATGCGGCCCGACGGCAGGGAGATGGCAGAGCGCAGAGAAGGGGCACCAAGACTTCGTGCACGTGCGCGAACTGCATTTGCATCTGGCGATCATCGAGGGCTGCGTGTCCCAGCTGCTTTTCGTGAAGGCGCCCGCGTTGATTTTACTTTTTGTTTTCCAAGCGTTGGCTTCCTCGCGCAGAGACATCGTGCCGTTGCACTGCTGTCTGCAAAGATCATCCCAACCTTTTTTTGGGCATCCCCTTTTCTTCCCAGCTGCGGTCGCAGGAGATGGGGCCGCTTCCACGGCAGTCTCTGGAACAGCCTCCCCCGCGGGATTGGCGTCGTCATCCTCCACGGGGTCGAGGTCATCTTCCATGGGCACCGCGTCGTCCAGAGGTGGTGCGACATTTATGGAAGGACTGCTTGTATGGGAGGTATGCATGCTGTCGTCCTCTCGATGGGGGAGCAGAGAAAATATGATACTCAAAACACCAGCGACAAATCAATGCCATACCCCTCGGTCCAGAAAGCGCACGAGGGAAACTAGCACTCAGCGCGAGTGAAAAGTGACCCAGGCACGACCCAACATCCATTTGCGACATGTGACGACCTCAGTGGGCCCATCCGAAACGAATGGTCATAGGAACAGTTCTCCGCTGCTGTGCGGAAGCCACGCGTCCGCTATCTCATGCGCATCTGTTCGAGGGTGCAGAATTCAGAGGCGATTGTTGGTGTCGCCGCTCCCGCTTTGCATGGCCGTCTCGCACGGGGCAGCATCTCTAACAGTTGCCAGCGGGGCCCCCGAACGTGTTTTAGGATATTGCGCGGTGCGCGCTATATGGCGCAATAAAAGTTCAGCATTGGTGTTGTGAAATCCATGTGGTGTAAGCTATGTGGTGCAACGTATGTGGCGTGAGCTACGCAGTGTGCAATGTATATTGTGTATAATGCGTGGTGCCACCTATGCGTGGGGCAAGCTATGTAGTGCGATTTAAATTGCACTATCTACGCCTAGGCGGTGCGGCGACGGAGTGTGGCGACGGGCGGCCGCAAACTGGCCGGGCTGGCGCATAGTCCCAGCGGTGAGTCTCGCCCAACCAAAGTCGCGACCAAAATGGCGCGGCGACGGGCGGCGGCGGTTGGCGGCTACAAGGCCGCGGAAGATTGCTACGAGACGTCGACAGCGACGATTACCATAACGGTGTTGGTGGCGATTGTTGGTGGGTGTGATGACGCCGACGATGATGGTGATGGTGATGAAGCTGACGGTGGTGATGCTGATGGTGGTGATGATGGTGGCAATGATGATGCTGGTGACGATGATGGTGGCAATGATGACGCTGGCGGGGGTACGAAGAGTGATGATGTTGATGATGAGGGTGATGATGATGACGAAGAGGACGGCGATGATGGTGTGAGTGCGGATTCTAAGGAGGTGCCTCAAAGTGGTCTGCGTAAGACGTACCTCCGCTGGGCCTCCCAGGAACCCACGAAAGTGAAGACAGTTGCGCAGATCGCAGCCCCGCAGGGGACAGGGAGGCTTCAAAGTGTTCTGCGTAAGACGTACCTCCGCTGGGCCTCCCAGGAACCCACGAAAGTGGCGACAGTTGCGCAGATCGCAGCCCCGCAGGGGACAGGAAGGCTTCAAAGTGATCTGCGTAAGACGTACCTCCGCTGGGCCCCCCAGGAACCAACGAAAGTGGCGACAGTTGCGCAGATCGCAGCCCCGCAGGGGACAGGGAGGCCTCAAAGTGATCAGCGTAAGACGTGCCTCCGCAGGGCCTCCCAGGAACCCACGAAAGTGGCGACAGTTGCGCAGATCGCAGCCCCGCAGGGGACAGGGAGGCCTCAAAGTGATTTGCGTATGACGTACCTCCGCTGGCGTTCGTTTATTTTCTGCCCATTCCTTGACTGCACGATGTTTGTCATCATCCTCGCCCTCGTACTCTTTCTCTTCCGCTGCTTCAATGGTGCGATCCCGCTTTCTTGGGCGTCTCATCATCGTCATCATTGTAGTCATCATCAGTATCATCGTCAGCATCGTCATCCGCTGCTGCATTACTCGGTTTCTGTTCTGTCCAGTAAGCCGGCGAGGCCCCAGAATTCACGCTGAGCGAAGAGGCGGACAGCATGAGACTCACGGTGTCGGTTCCGAGGCCGCCAGGGGGAGGCAAGTTTCGCATCGTAGTCTCATCGCCTGTAGCAGTGTCGATTAAATCTCCAGGGGAGTTGTGACTGGTCCCAGTTGTGGGCCTTCGGCCCATCCCGCCACCGTGCCTGGGTTGTGGGTCTGAAGCCTATTTGATGTTGGTTGTGATCTCGTGGGGTGCTTCTCGAGGGCCTCTTGGAGGCAGCATTGAAGCCTCTCGGGGGCCGCTTGGGGGCCTCTTGGGGCCTGGTTGCCCCCCACCCGCATGGATTCGGCATCCCGCGGCCCCGCCTCGGCTGCCGGAGCGGGCGGGGAGGGCTTGCGCACCGCAAGCTGCTCTCAGGCAGCTGGCGTTCTCGTGCGCAGGGGTCCCTGCCGCCCAGCGCTCCCCGCGTTCACCCCTCCCCTGCTCCGACCCCCCGCCCCCCCACTCGGCACGGGCCACTGCCCCAGCAGGGTCACTTCCTCTTCTTGGGGGTGCGCCCTCGGGGTGCCCAGGTCCGTTTGGATCGCAGGGAAGGGCAGTGAGGCGAGGAGGGAGGGCAAAGATATCCGTTCAACGGACCAACAGTACGGCCCTTGAGCCAGCAGTTTTTGCCTGGGCAGGTCCGCGGGGTCGGCATGCCCTCTATGTTTGAGAGTCTCGAGTCGGACTTCCCCCATGTGTTCAGCCTTGCCCAGGGATTCTACCAATGAGGACCCGTCCGTGCACCCAACTGCGAATCTGAGCCATTTCTCTTACCTCCTCCTCCACCTCCTCCTCCTCCTCTCCCTCTCCCACTCCCTCTCTTACATCCCTTCATCCTCCCTCCTTTTCTGGATGACGCGGTTCCAGAAAAACCTGGGGCTGGCTGGGGGGCCCAAGCCGAAGTCTCGTCCATCCCTTTCCTAGTATATGTACAGATCTGTATATATAGCTCCACCTCGTCTGATCACCAGACGCGTCGGTTGGGCAGGCCAGGCTTTTCGCGAAGTATACTTTTACTCTGTATGATCTAGAGTGTTGAAAGTTCAGACAGTTCAAACATGGAGGTCGAGCCGTTTTCGAAACGTAGCTCTCGCCCTAGCGCGGCGCGCATTCGCTTACACAACAGCTTGCAATGAGTGCAAGGCTGGAGTGAGGGTCGTTTTCAAAATGGAGTTCTCGCCTTAGCGCCGCATGCATTCGTCTGAACAGTTGCTGCATACGTTTCAAGGATGGAGGGCGGGTGGTTTTCAAATTCGAGCTTTCGCTTCAGCACCGCAACCACTCGTCGTGGACATCTGCAGCAGTTACAAGGATGCATAGGGCGGCTCCCTTTTCAAAATGGGGCTCTCACCCTAGCGCCGCGCCCATTCGTCTCAACATACAATCAACGCGCCTTGTAAGGATGTGCGCCTTCATCTAGGGTACCCTTGTGTCCTTGTTTCTGCGGCCCGTCCTCTGCCGTTTTCACTGGTCGCCCGCCGCCCCAAAGATCCCAATTTCGGCCTCCACGGATCTTGCGTCCTTACCACCCGTGCTTAATACACGTTTTGACTGTAGTGCTGTTGTTGCAAGGGTGAAGGAAGGTGCCTTTGCAAGCAGGGGCTTGTCGCAGGGGTGAAGGAAGATGCCTTTGCAAACAGGGGCTTTCGCTCGAGGGCTCCTCGAGTTCAAGGACCAGGAGCCCGAGCACGTGCAGCAGCTGCACGGAAGGAGGGCTGCTTCTCGTCAGCACAGAGATCGCGCTCGAGGCGTCCTCGAAGTGCATGACCGTGAGCGTGCAGCAGTCGGCGCGACGACATCTATACATCCACTGCTCCTTGGCCAGGGACATCCTGAACCCAGCAGCTGTGTATACGCCCTCCTGGCCAGGCCAGGGGTACACACCGCTGCCGGGTGCATGAAGAGCTTGACCAAGGAGCAGTTGGCATGCACAGAATTTTCGCCGCCTCGAACAGTTGCACAGATCGGGGCGGTTCTTCTTCCAAACGGTGATCTCGGGGGGGCACCTCCCTGAACTGCACGAGCATGCCCCTTCGCATTCCCTCTTGGTGGTTGGAATGATGCTAGGCAGCTCCCTTCTCGAAGCGGGGCTCTCGCCCGAATGGCAGGCACATCGGCTGCCGTTTGTTCAAGGGGAGCTTCTCGTTGTAAAGAGAGAGTGCCTGCAGGGTCCTGTGAGGATGGGGCCCGGGACGGGACGTTTGCTGCAGCATCGCAGGTGCATCTTGGGTTTGCTCTGGTCCTCCTGTGGGCTGTGGACTGATGGCGTCAGGGTCGTACCGACGCCGCCCTTCTCCCCCCCCCTGGGGCCAGTCGGCCTGGGGGTTAATCAAACTAGAGCCAGGCGACTCCTAGAGCACCGCTCCAGGTAGACAGTGAAAGACGAGAAATAACCGACAACCGGGCACGAGAGAAAGGGGGGAAACGAGGCGGGGAAGACCTCGTAAGCGAAAGGCTGGTCCTCCTCCTCGTCTTCCTTGCCGCCGTGCTGCGCCCAGCCGCCGCTGCCGCCACCGCCGACCACGCTCGCTCGCTCCTCTTCCTCCTCTTCCTCCTCCTCCTCCTCTTCCTCCTCCTCCTCCTCCTTCTCCTCCTCCAGTGGCTTGAGGACACCCCGCAGGACTCCGCCCCCTTCGCGGCAGTCTCGCCGATCGCGCACGCCCTGCTGGATCTCTCCATCTACCTGTACGTGGATGACATCTTCAAGCTCGACGTCGTCCCCACTGGCCATGCGCGCGACGCAGCCCGCATCCTCGCCAACAGCAACGCCATCCTCGACAACTGCCTGGCCGAATACGGGTTCCACCAGAACAGGGACAAGGAGGAGATCGTCGGAGGGCTGCGAACCAGGCGCGAAAACCGAGCACGAGCCCAACAAGTACAAGGACGAGTTCTCCGAACCCTCAAGTACCTTGGCGGCCACTTCCACCACGGTGGCAGCAACACCATCGAGATCGACCAGCGCATCCAGAGCATCAAGCGGGCCTGGTACATCATGGGCAAGTTCTGGCACCGCAAAGTCTCATGGCGGCTCAAGCGCATCATCTTCATCAACCGCGTGATCGGCGCTGCAGCCAGCGGCATGGACTCCTACCTGCTCAAAGACACATAATACAAGCGTCTTGACACAGTCATCGCCAAATTCATGCGTGTGTTGATGAAGGGCAAAGCCACCACCATCGACGAAGCAGGCCACTACAACACCATGGCCACCGCCGAAGTCTTCAAGCACTGCCACATCTCCCCGATGTATATCGAGCTGAAGGTTCGCAGGCTGCGCATGATACAGGCCTCCGTCAAGCATTCATCAGACTACGACCAGTGGCTCACAGCACTGTTCGGGTTCATCCAGTTCGAGAAAGTCTACAACCGCGAGCAGATCGGCGAGCTAGACGATGATGGCCAGCTCACCGCAGACGCGAACCCCATGGCGAAGCAGTACTACAACGACGTTCTCTCGGTTCTCGAGTTAGACAGCGCCGAGCAGTTCAGCTACATGTGGGACGGAAGCATCACTCAACTATATCACGAAGCAGAGGTAGCAGCAGCATTCATCAAGATCGACGTGGCGGAACTACGGGCCAGGGCATCCGCAGTCGCCATTCCACCCCCTGGTTTCGCGCCGCCAGAACCACACGATCTCGACCAACGTGCAGGAGACGAGCTGGGTTACTACAAATGTGACCTTCTCACGGACGCAAGACAAACCTGCGGCCGCGTTTTTTCGACATGGACTGCGCTCTGTACACATCAGACCGCGACGAAAGGAGGAGAGCACGGGCTACGATCAGCAGCAGCAGCCGTCACCATCACCAATCAGTGTCCACTCTGCCGCACAACGTTCGTGGATCGGGCCCAGGCCGAGGATCACTTGTTGCGTTCGCTCAAGCACAAGCGCTGCATTGCCGACAACACCAGGCTTCACTACCCGTAGATATCGATCGAGAACCCAGCATGCCCCCTGTGCCCCAACATGCAGCCGTTTGCCCACCTCTCAAGCTTCCAGGACCACGTCTGCGCGGCACACCTGCCAACAGAAGAGCACCACATTTCATTGGACATAGGTTTGTTCCAGGATGACGTGGTGTCTACCTACGGACAAGGACATCAAGGACGTGGCGAGCAGCATGGCAGACACGGAGCGTTCGACCAAGCACCAGAAGACTATGCACCCCAAGGGCAAGGGCGGCCACCACAAGAAAGGCGACAAGGCCGAGGCGGCAAAGGACGCGAACGAGGACGCCAACATGCAGGACAAGGACGCGGACGACACCAAGGGCGAGGGCAGCCCAGCAGCCGCGGCAGCAGCAGGACACAACGTGCGCCGACGACAACGCGGAGGAGAAGCCTACCAAACCAAGTGCGACCCGAAGCTGAAGAAGCTGCTCACCGTGCTGATCAAGCAAGTGCTGGCCAACACACAAAAGCTCGCGTGGGTCGTTTCTGCGGTGTACAGCACGTACCTGATGCCCACGCAGACCAAGGTCATCAAACCACTACGAGCATGCAGGAAGATCTACGCGGACAAGTGCAGGGAAGCGGGCAAAAGACATGCGTATGGACCTCCGGAGGGCCACCTGTACGTCACGCTTATCCCGACCCTCTGCACCGAGGACGTGGGCGCCAAGACGAGGACCATCCTCGCCGAGCACGGGAAGTTCGTGGACCAGATCAACGTGGCCACCGTGCTCAGCAAGGTTAAGCACCTGAAGCTCAGCAAGTGCTACGACCCCAACATGGCGAAGCTCACCATCTACATCGAGCAAGGGCCGTGGACCGATGCCGAAGCGGAGGAGGAAGCAACCGAGGAGCAGAAGAAGCAGGCCCACATCAAGGACAGCATACACCGAGCGCTGATCCAGGCGGGGGCCACAGTGAAGACGGGAAAGCCACCAGCGGGAGTCATGGAAGATGAACTGGCCGCGTGGTTGGCAGGGCTATGAGTTTATGCGAAAGTGGATGGCCGATCGACCACGCCTCGTTCGGCAAGTGAGCGGCGCGCGTGGCGCCGAGCTCACAATGAAGGTGCCGCTCTGAGCGGCGACGGCGGGGGCCCATACATGCGGCTGAACGCACTGCTCCGCCCCCCAAGGCCGCTGTATCTATCTATCCTTCTCCTCCTCCTCCTCCTCCTCCTCCTCCTCCCTCCTCCTCTTCCTCCTCATTCGCTCTCGCTCGTTCGCTCCCCTCTCCCCTCCCTCCTCCCTCCCGGCGGGGGGAGGCTCGAGTCCATGCAGGGCGTCAGCCTGGACGTGACCGAGCAGCGGGCCTCCCTCGCCTTCCCCGGGGGCGCTGGCCTGAAACCGCTCCAGGCGCTGCGGGCCCGGCTGCAAGGCCAGGGTGCTACAGTCGACGCTGATCAGTAGGTCGACCCTGCCAACTCAAGGGTACCCTTGTGTCCTGTGCCTCGTGACCCATGCCTTCTACAACGCTGTGGCAACGTGGACCTTGGAAGGGTCTCGTGTCCTCTCGCGCGTCCTCTCCAGTCAAGCTCGACTGTAGGCCTCTCAGATGGAGTCCGAGCACATGGGGTCGGAGGATCGCGCCGCCTCGCTGATGTATCGCCGATGCGGCTCGATGTGGAGCCCGAGTTTCTCCGTGGTGACGTCGCCGCTGCATCGCCGACGTCGCCGATGCATAGGCGATGCATCGGCGATGCGGCGCGATTCCATGACCCCAACCATTCGGACCCATCCAGGACGCTTTTAAGCATAGGGGAGGAGGAGGAGGAGGAGGAGCATGAGCAGGAGGAAGAGGAGCAGGAGAAGGAGGAGGAGGAGGAAAAAGATGAAGAGGAGGAGGGGGAGAAGGAAAAAGGGTCTTCGTCCTCCCTCCTTGAGGTCACGATTCGGTCCTTCTCCTTCCTTTCCCTCCACTTTATGTTGTCGTTTGCACTGCTGTACCGGTTACAGCGTTTCCCGCCAGCCGTTGCTTCCACGGGCTACCGCACAGGGTTTCAGGATGATGATGATGAAAACGATGATGACGATGACGATGATGATGGCGATGATGATGATGTTCATGATTATGATGATGTTGATGTTGATGCGGATGATGATGATGATGATGATGATGATGATGGTGATGATGATGATGGTGGTGGTGATGATGATTATGCTGATGCTGATGCTGATGTTGATGCTGATGCTGCTGATGATGATGATGATGATGATGATGAGGCGGAGGAGGAGGAAGAGGAGGTGGAATGGCTTGATCCGCACTGGCTTGTAGCCCGAGTTATGCCCACCTCGCCTACGTCGATCATTGCCGACTATTGCCGCGAAGACGATACAGCACAGCATGCGTTCAACTTTGTGCACCGTCGAAACGAGTGGGTTAGTAGGATGTGGAGTAGGGAGGTGGAGGGGGGATGAGGGACGAGGGATGAGGGAGGATGCTGATGATGAGGAGGAGGGCAAGGAGGAGGAGGAGGAGGAGGAGGACAAGGAGGAGGAGGAGGAGGAGGAGGAGAGGAAGGAGGAAGGATGACGATGGCGGTGGTGGTGGTGGTGGTGGTGGGCTGTTCCAGGGGTCTTGGGGAGTTCGGAGGGCATCCAGGAGAGTCCACCGAGTTCTTGGAATTTGCAGGGATGCCCAAACCTTTAGAGTTGCTGTTTCGATTTCCCTTCCGAGAGAATTCCCCGCCGTTGCGAATGTCCTACCAACTGAACCCATGGCTCCTGCGTCAGCGTCGAGGTTCTATATTGGGATTCATTTCTTCACCAATGAGTATGATTGAGCGCGAGCTCGCTACCTTGCCCTTCAAGTTCGATAGCATGTGCGTGTGTGTGTGTGTCTGTCTGTCTGTCTGTCTGTTTGTTTGTTTGTTTGGTTGGTTGGTTGGTTGGTTGTTTGTTTGCTTGTTCGCTTGTTTGTTTGCTTGTTTGCTTGTTCGTTCGTTTGTTCGCTCGTTTGTTTGTTTGTTTGTTTGTTTGTTTGTGTGTGTGTGTGTGTGTGTCCAATGGCCTTCGGCCTTCCCGCCACCGTGCCTGGGCTGTGGGCATGAAGCCTATTGGATGTTCGTCGGGATCTCGTGGGAGGCCCCGCGGGGGCCTCTGGGAGGCAGTTTTGGGGCCTCTCAGGGGCCGTTTCGGGGCCTCTGGGGCCTCTTTTGCGCCTCTTTGGAGTCTCTTGGGGCCTCTTGGGGGCTTCTTGGGGTCCTCTTTAGGCCTCCTGGGTGCCTCTTAGGGCTTCTGGGGACCTCTTGGGGCTGAAGGCTCGGATTTTCAGTTCGTGTTCCTCTCTTGGGCCCCTTCTATGGCCGTCTTGGAGCCCTCTTGTGCGGTGTTGCGCACCTCTTGGGCCGTCTTGGGGCTCTCAGTTTGAAAGGGGTTGGGAGGCCCAACCAGTAGCTTCGCCTTAGGCGAAGCCCAGCTCCAGCTCTGTTGTATCGTAGTAACGATAGTCCCAGTAGTAGGAGGTCGTCGCGGGAGCGACGGGCCATCTCAAGCGAAGGATGTTTTCGGTCTCGATGGTGAATGGTACACCTCGCACTGAGGTGTAGTCAGATTTGGGCGGCCGGCCGCTTGAACACAAACGGCCGCGGACACATGCTCGTTACCTCTCGCCTGTATCCCAGCTCACTTTAGAGTCCCTCTTGGAGGTCTCTTGGGCCGTCTTGGGGCGGTCTTGGGTGCTTCTAGCCGTCTTGGAGCGTCGGGCAGCCGAAATGGCAGAATGCCAAATTTCTTCAAAACCCATTTGGAAAATTCATGATTTGGGCCTCATGGGGCTCTTTCGGGAGATCTCGTGGAGGCCTCTTGGGGCATCTTGGGGGCCTCTTCGGCTGTCTGGGGGCCTTCTCGAGCGTCTTGGAGCGATCGTTCGGCGACTCGGGGCCCTCTTGAACTGTCTTGAGGGGCATCTTGGGACCCTCTTGGCCCGTCTTGGGGCCCTCATGGGCCCGAACAATGAATTTATGCGACAACATTTCCCGGAGCCTAGGGGGCATGCGGGAAGCCCTAGGGGGCACGCGAGAAGCCCCGGGAGATTTGAGAGCGAGGGATCCGGGCCACTTAATAAAGATTCTTCAGGAGTGATGATTGAGGCTTAGAGGATGAGGCCCAGGACCTGAGGACACGCCCACTCCATGTGCAGCGGCTCGGTGGCGGACCGAGACACACGCAGACACACACAGACAGACACACAGACACACACACACACACTTGCATGCACACACACATACACACACACGCACACACACACACAAATTTGCACACACACACACACACGCACACACACGCGCACGCACGCACGCACGCACGCACGCACACACCCGCACACACACACACACACGCACGCACACACAAACAAACACAAACACACGAATCCACAAACACACACAACAACACAAACACACAAACACACAAACACACACACACAAACACACAAAAACGCAAAAACATAAACACGCAAACACACAAACACACAAACTCACAAGCACACGAACACACGAACTCACAAACACCCAAACGCACAAACACACACAAACACACACACAAACACACACAAACACACAAGCACACACAACACACACACACAAACAGACAAACACACAAACACACAAACTCACAAGCACACGACCACACGAAGACGAACTCACAAACACCAAAACACTCAAACACACAAACACACAAACGCACAAACACGCTCACACAAACACACAACCTCACAAACACGCAAACACAAACACACAAACACAAACACACACACACACATCCACAATACAAACACACAAGCAGGCAAACGCAGAAACACACAAACACAAACACACAAACACACACAAACGCACAAACACAAGCACACAAACACACAAGCGCACAAACACACAACCACACAACCACACAAACACATGAACACAAACACACAACACACAAACACACAAGCACACAAACACAAACAAACACACACATACATATATGTATGCTGATGGTTGTGTCTATGTATGCATACATGCATATGCATGCGTGGATGTATGCATATACACATGTATATGTACGTGAAAATGTTTGTGTATATATTTATGTGTATATTTATGTGTGTATGCGTACATGTTTGTGCATATTTACATACAGATATATGTGTATATGAGTGCATTCGTACGTGTAGGTGTATGTATATGTATAGGTATATGTATATATACACACATATATGTATACATGTGCATATGCATTTGTATGAGTATACGAACATGTATATGTTCATGGATACATGTATAGGCATATGTGTATCGTTGTGTATCTGGATATGTATGTATATGTATCTGAATACGTATGTATGTATATATATGTGTGTAAGTATGTATATCTGGATGCATGCATGCATGTATGTATGTATGTAGATATGTATGTATGAACGTACGTCTGTATGCAGGTAGGTAGGCGCGTACGTGTGTATGTATGTATGCATGTATTTGTGTATGTAGGTATGTATACATTTTAACTCTTGTTTTATTCTCTGGGAACCCCTTCCGCCCCGAAATCGGACCCCCCGAATTCCCGGGCCCCCGGGACCCTTTGAACCCCCAGATCTGTTGCCCAGGGGTCTCCCTGGACGCCCCTGCAAGAGGGAGGCCCTCCAGGCGTTTCAGAGCTCCTGGAAGCCCTTGCTGGGCCTAGACAACGGGCCTGAATCGGTCAGGAGGGCGGCCGAACGCTCCCCCGAAGGCTCCAAGAGGCCCCAGACACCCACCAGACGCCCGAAGACGACCCAAAGAAGACCCCCGAGAGGCTTCCAAAATGCAGAAAAACATTGAGTTTGCAAGCTTCATGCATGAGTTTGGAAATGCCTTGTTCTTTGGTTTCCTGGGCGTGAGAGATCGCCTGGGAGGTTCGGAAATCGCCCCAAAACCATCCGAAAGGGCTTCCAGGCAGTCCAAGAGAGCCCCAAGGCGGCACAACAGGGTTCCAAGATGGCCTCAGAGAGCCCCTATGACGGCCCAAGATGGTCCCAAGACGCCCTCCGAAGCATTCCAAATCTTGATCCGATCGTTCAGGGAGACCGCGGTTGGAGGCAGGGTGGCCCGAGGAAGCCGCCAGAGGCCCCCAGAACACGCCCAGGAGGCCTCCAGAAGGCCTTAAGAAAGCATGAACAACTTCCGTGAGGCCCCCAGAGGCTCTCCAAGGAGAAGCCTCCGCCGCAAAAAGAGCTGAGGATGATGGGGAAGAATTCGCAGGGTAGGGCGAGAATGAAGAAAAAGAGCCATGGAGGAAGGATAACCAATCACATTATCATAAAGGCGATGCCGGAATCGGCAACAAGGAGTTATCGCTAATTTGTCTGTTTGACTTTCCTGCCATTCCGCCTGCATGCC